ACGAAACCTGCTCTTTTTGGTAGATACACTTAACAAATGTATAGTTTTCCCACGTTTGAATCAAAAACAAAAAGTAAACTATGACTACATACCGAGTGTCCCGTACAAAAGCCACTGTCTTGATGCTATGTGTTTTTTAGCCTGTCTTTTCACAACTGAAACATGTTCTTGATACTATTCCGATAAAGACTTAAACGGGAAAGACTTCCGCCCGTATCCCCCCTCAAATTTTATTCTAGTCAAATCATATCAATTGAATATATATTCATCATCTCATACGGATGAGTTTTAACATGCTTCTTTAATTGTATCTGAACATACTGAAAGACATATCCCACTTCTAGAAATGTCACTCAAAGAAATGTTTCCTCATCGTTAAAATTTAGGGGGGATACGGGCAATAATCATCAACCAAAAAACCCCAAAACAATTGGACAAACTGTGATATATACAACCTTTTCAATTGTCACCATTCCCAACATGGAACAATACTAACATCTCGATTTGCACGAACGCAAACAACACTCATTGCTAAAAAACACGGTTATTGCGCCTATTTTTTATGTATCCATCAAAAGATTGTTAGAAAGGGTTGCCTACCTGGTCCTCTGTCGTCTTCTTGTCAGACGTCCTGACTCCAGAGGAGTTCTTGGTCCACGCCTGCCCATAATATGTCTTCTTGGCAGTCGTCCTGCCTCTTGAGGACTTCAAGGTCAATATCGTCCCCCAGGACGTCTTCATGGCAGGCGGGCGGTCGGGTAGCCTAGTGGTTAAAGCGTTGGCTCGTCACGCCGAAGACCCGGGTTCGAATCCCCACGTGGGTACATTGTTTTAAGCCCATTTCTGGTGTCCCCCGCCGTGATGTTGCTGGAATATTGCTAAAAGCGGCGTAAAATCAAACTCAGTCAGTCAGTCAGTCTTCATGGCAGGCCCGTGCCCTGGAGGTCTTCTTGGTAGTCCTATGCCTCGGAATCCTTCATGTAGTCCTTTGCCCTCATGGTCAGCATACAGTCCACTTCACATCCAAGTGACAATCGCGTCCTGGGTCCAAAAAGTAAAGGTAAAGACTATGTCCCATCATTGGTACTTAGGCTACTGCACAGACTATAATGCGGAAAGCATATGCTGGGTAGTCAAAAAAAGTTGTTACATGAATATCGAATTAAAATATTACAATACATTACTACACTGCCCCGGCACACGTTTCGAAATGGTTGCTCCCTAACCTGAAACCTGTTGGAGAAAGGAAGTACATAATTTGTACGTATTCAGACACGTGAGTGAGTATTTGCTGCCGCTTGTAACAGTCCGTCTGTTGTCCGTCAGTGCCATCTCACTGACTGATGTATATATGTTTTAGGTACTGCAAAGGTACTTGCCAGTTAGTTTTAGTTTCAGTGTTAATATTGTTCAAGATATGCAAATAATAGTAACAAAGCTGACAAAGAAACAAAGAACCAACAATGTCAAACTGACAACATTTAAGGAAACAGTGCAGCAGTCTACTGTAAATACTGTCACTGCTTTCACAGTTACTGATGCAAATCCGGGATAAAATTTGTCTTCAGCACCCCATGCTAGTCTCCCCGTGAAGATCCGGGATAAAATTTGTCTTCAGCACCCCATGATAGTCTCCCCGTGAAGATATGGGGATAAAATTTGTCTGAAGATCCGGGATAAAATTAGTCTTCAGCACCCCATGCTAGTCTCCCGTGAAGATCCGGCACCCCATGATGAAGATCCGGGAAAATTTGTCTTCAGCACCCCATGCTAGTCTCCCCATGAAAATCCGGGATAAAATTTGTCTTCAGCACCCCATGCTAGTCTCCCCGTGAAAATCCGGGATAAAATTTGTCTTCAGCACGCCATGCTAGTCTCCCCGTGAAGATCCGGGATAAAATTAGTCTTCAGCACCCCATGCTAGTCTCCCCATGAAAATCCGGGTTAAAATTTGTCTTCAGCACCCCATGCTAGTCTCCCCGTGAAAATCCAGGTTAGAATTGGTCCTCAGTAACCCATGCTTGCCGTAAGAGGCGACTAACGGGATCGGGTGGTCAGGCTCGCTGACTTGGTTGACACATGTTGTTGTATCCCAATTGCGTAGATCGATGCTCATGCTGTTGATAACTCCATGGTCTGGTCCAGACTCGATTATTTACAGACTGCCGCCAAATAGCTGGCATTGTGCTGAGTGCGGCGTAAAACAACAACCAAACCAACATTCACAATTAGCTTCGTGAAATCTGATTCACTAATGTCGACGGCTGGCTGGATAATTATTGAATGGCAGTTCTCTTATCAGGCTGCATTGGATAGACATTGTAATGGTCATTGCGTGTGTACCGCCTCCGTGGTGTAGTGGTTAGAGCGTCCGCCCGGAGAGCGGAATGTCGCGGGTTCGATCCCCGACCGCGTCATACCAAAAGACGTTAAAATATGGTACTTGTTGGTCCCTGCCTGGCGCTCGGCATTAATGGGTACAACAAGGAGGTGTCCTCCCATTACGCAGACAGCCAGTTCGCAGACACCTTAAAACAACAACATTTACGGTTCAGTGAACAGAGTATCTGCTACCTGTTACCTACACATTATAATGGAATAGTCCAAATAAAAACACAGGAACAAACTGAAGCTATGTTATATATTTTGAAAGATGGACGAAAAGAGAGTAATTTAAATTTTTATTGTTTTATTGCTGCAATATAAAAACAGTTTATTTTCATAAACATTTCGGTTTAACCTTCTAGTCTAACGGGAGTCGGCATCATCATATTGAAAACATTAGCTTAGCTATTGGAAATAGCGACACTGTTGTATCATATAAATCAAATGGACAAATGTGAACCTAAATATTATTCATATGGAATAAAGAAGTTATATGTTTTGCACACAATATTAAGATACATGACACGTGCACTTAATTACGATTTGTTTAAGATAAATATTTGAAATATGACACATCATGTCAATGTGGCCATGGATGTGAGATGTTTTTCATTACTTCCTTGAATGTCCATTGTATACTACTCAAAGACACAAACTGTTACAATCTTTAGAAAGTATTGTTAAAATTAGAACACAGATTTGTATTAATCGTATCTTACATGGCAATGCAGGTGTCTCATTTACTGCAAATCAGAATGTTTTCAAATATGTACATATCTATATCTCTCCAACAAAACGTTTTTTTCTTCAGTTGTACACTTCTGTTGTAGGGGTCTTTTCATCAATGCTATTAATGGGAGCTGTTTTATATTTGGGTAATTTTAGTAAAATCAATTTGCGAAGACAAATCATTTATCATTTAATCACAACAAAGTTCTATTTACCCACAATCAAACTTCTCAGTAACGAACCTGTTTCAGGCTCACCCTGCTCGACTCAATAGACAGTGGACTGTTCCATTATACCCGTAGGTGTTACCCTAATTAACCTTCCAGTTCAGTGTCTGTCAAATGGGTGTCTGTCAAACGGGTGTCTGTCAATTGGGAGATAACCAACAAGGACTGGTCGGCTCGGAGTCAGTATAATGTGTCTGAGTGGGGTATTCATGCTTCACTGCGGCATGGTATCTCAGTGGGCTAGCACTATAAAACCAGCTTAAGTCTGGGCTAGTACAAGCAGCCACACATACACATACACACGTATGCACGTCGTCATATGAGCGAAATATTCTCATGCACGACGTTAAACCCAAATTCACCTCACCTGATTTGAGAAATATATATTGTCACTAATCTTCGTTCCACAGACATTGTCCTATACGAGATTTACGTAGCTTCTGGCAGCCCGGACCAAGTCGGACCGAGGTGAGGTGAGGTGAAATTGGGGTTAAAGTCGTGCTTGAGAATATTTCGCTCAACAGGGACTGAACACTTTTGGTTGAGGCTATATTGAGAATTAAGATAAACTTGTTTGCTTTAAATACTCAGATTTAATCATTACAAAGTGGTGTTTATGTAGATATAATATAGTTCTACATCTGTAAACAATATTGATGAAATAACTGACGTTCTAGCTGCTTCTAAACGCATGGGCTAAGTCGGATAGAACACCAGGAGAAGCGCACATAAAATATATACATTCCAGCGTGTATATCCTGAGGGGGCGGAGGGGTGGCCTAGTGGTTAAAGCGTTCGTTCCTAAAGCCGAAGACCCGGGTTCGATTCTCCACATGGGTACAACGTGTGGAGCCCATTTCTGGTGTCCCCCGCTGTGATATTGCTGGAATATTTCTATGAGCGACGTCAAACCAAACTCACTCACTCACCATCCTGAGGACCGCAGTGTCGATATTAGTGAGTAGCGCCAATCGGAATTCTGCAGGTACCACAGTTACATCGTCTGAAACGCTATGTCGCGATATTACATACTGAGATAACGAGTTTTTACAGTAGATATCAGTTTAATAGCATGTACACATCCTCATTGGAGTGAGTGTGGGGCGGTGGGGGAGCCTAGTGGTTAAGGCGTTCGATCGACACGCCGAAGACACGGGTTCGATTCCCTAAAATGTGTTAAGCTCATTTCTGGTGTTCCCCGCCGTGTTTTTGCTGGAACATTGCTAAAAGCGGCATTCGTTGGAGTGAGTGAGTTTAGTTTTACGCCGCACTCAGCAATATTCCAGCTTTGTGGTGGCGGTCTGTAAATAATCGAGTCTGGACCACACAATCCAGTGATCAACGTCATGAGCATAGATCTACGCAACTGGGATAAGATGACATGTGTCAACCAAATCAGTGAGCCTGGCAACCAGATCCCGTTAGTCGCCTCTTACGACAAGCATCGGTTACTGAAGGTTAATTCTAATCCGTATCTTCACGGGTTCCTCCTTGGACAGTATGGTGGAACTTTCAATATTTTTCACTTATTGCCTAAGTTATGAATTTATAAAAATATCAATCACTTGGTAATATTCGTTTAATAAATTTATAATGTATATCGGGTCGCTTTGAAAACATTTTTTTTTATAAATATAGATAAAGACAAATCAAGCTGACGGAATGTGCAAGGGAAGAGTACTTTATTTGTCACAGCAGGGCATCAATTTCCATAATTTGAGAAAACCAAACATATAATTGTTTCACGTTGGAATGAAAATTCAGGGCGGGCATGAGATAAAAAAAAACTACGGAGAATATCAAGGCTGGTATAGAAGCATAGCCATGTGTTGTCAAGGCCGCGAACACAATAATATTGTTTTTTGTACAGTAGTGTATATGTACAAACCTCAAAGCACATATGGCTCATAAAACATGTTATGGATTAGGTATCCACACACAGGGGCGGATACGGCTTTTTGAGAAAGGGGGTAGCACAGTTCAGAAAGGAGTGGTAGGGTGTACAGTTCATTTTCATCCGTTTTCACGAGAGTTTCAATGGTCATTTAATAAACTTTCAGGAGAAAAGGGGGGCACCCCTGCAACCCCCTCTGGATCCAACTATGCACAGATAAGTATTTTCGTAGTCTGTCATACAGACCCTGAAATAAATACACCCAATCATTTAGAGCAGGGAACGTAAGAAATGCACGTTACATGTGAGTGGGGTAGATTTGAAATAAGAGAATGTCTTCCAGTCCTTTAATATACCAATATATGAATCCTGAAACGTTTCTCGAACAGTAGTGTTATATATCCATGTTGTCCAATCATGGTTGTCAAATGATTGTCAATTGTTGTTGTCAATCAGGGTTGTTGGTCAGGGTTCAACTTCACGATTGTCTTGTCGGTGTCAGGATCCATGTATTCCTTCCCAATGTTGTCGACATACGTCGTGCACGACTTGACGGCGTCGTCTGGAACCTGCAACATCATCAAGCAAAATAGCACAATAACGTTTCATTATCGAGCTATGTGATCCTGTTTATATTTCACTCGTCTTCGTTGCAATATATGTATACATGATATATAATTTTATCAGTAATATATCCATTTTCACAATCTCTTGAAATTCTAACTTTGATATCTTAAGTCGTGGCATGGGTATCTTTGCTCCTTGGTTAGAATAAATTGTCAATGAATGGGTGACTCGTGGGTCAGAATCAATTACTGGTGAATTGGGGCAGAATAGAGTTCTGAGCATTTTGTGACTTTCTGGGTAGAATAGCGTTGATATGACTCCTTGGGTGAAATAACTTGTCAGAATTATTGCTGAATTTGGACAGACTAACGCTATGAGCACGTTATGACTCTTTGGGGAGATTAGTGAGTTGACGCTTTGGGGAATATTCCAACAATATCACGGCAAGGGACACCAGAAATGGGCTACACACATTGAACCCATGTGGGGAATCGAACCCTGGTCTTCGTCGTGATGAGCGAACGCTTTGACCACGTGGCTACCCACCACCCCTTGGGTAAATAACTTGTCAATAAATGAGTAACTCGTTGATCAGAAACTTTTGTTGTAAATTTGGGCAGATTAACAATCATTTTAATGAATTCATGGTTCTTTGTAATGAAATACACAATGCCATTTAGAAAGTGGTCAAATGTAACATATGTTATATTTGGGATTACACTTTCTTTGTAAGTACAGATTCTAGTACTGTTGTTGGGTTGAGTCCCATCCGGGATTCGAACCCACACCTTCAGAGTCAGACACTTAATCGCCAGCACACAAAGTCAGACGCCTAGACAGCTCAGCCACCGCAGCTTCCACGGCGGCGATTAGGGTGTCGGTTCGAATCCCGGATGGGACTCAACCCAACAAAGTACTAGAATCTGTACTTTACAAAGAAAGTGTAATCCCAAATATAACATATGTTACATGATGGTTCTTTGGTCAAAATAACAAATGATTCCTTAGGCAGGATTAGGCTTTGATGAATTAATTAGTTTGAGGGAAGAATAACGTTCAGGTGACGTACGATATCCAGCTTTGTGTACTGGGGGTGGTGGTGTTCGAACGCTGGGTTGTTGGAACGTCGGTTGTAGGCGGGGATGAGGACCCATCGTCGGTCGTCGCTGGTGTTGGCGCTGCTGTTGTGCAGGAGGTTGGAGTGGAAGAACAGGGCGTCACCTGGAGGAATGAACAATGTCAGACCTAAATACCATGTGGCTCAAGAATGAAGATCCGGGTTAGAATTGGTCTTAGAATTGGTCTTTGTCGTAAAAGGCGACTCGTGGGATCGGGGGATCAGCCACCAGTCATCGTATCCCAATGCTGTGGATCTGATGGTCACGTTGTCAGTCACATGATTGTCTGGTCCAGACTTATTTGCAGACCGCTGTCATATAGCTGGGATATTGCTGAATGCGGCGTTAAAACAACAAACATACATACATACATACATACATACATACATACATACATACATACATACATACATACATACATACATACATACATACATACATACATACATACATACATACATACATACATACACGAAAAACAGATGTCGCGACCAGTTTGCAGCTGCGAGAAACAGGTGTTGATTAAACATGCCCATGCCATAATACTCACTCACCAACCCACTCACTTACTCACCAAACCCGGGCACTCACACACCAAGCCACTTACTCATTCACCAACCAGCTCACTCACTCACCAACCCACTCACTCACTCACTCACTTACTCACCAAGCCACTTACTCACCAACCCGTTCACCCACTCACTTACTCACCAAGCCACTCACTCACCAACCCACCCACTCACTCACCAACCCACTCACTCACTCACCAACCCCACCCCCCACTCACTCACTCACTTATGCAACATAAATAAGTGCCGGGTACTGCAGGTTGTTACACATGGGACTTCACCTGGCTGTAGTTCCACGTATTTTAACGAGCAGATCTTCTTGATGAACTCCACCCGCTCTATGTCCGCTCCGGTCTGTCCCCCGACCCGCAGGTGCTCGATCCGCCCACGCTTGTGCGACTTCTCCAGAACCTGAGACGAGGGTATAAAACTCTCACAAAACGCATTAACAGAAAAAAACCTTATTTATCATAATATAATCATTTGTTTTACAACCGGCAGAATGTTTAGAGAACGTGTGGTCATTTTGTTCTGTACAGGGACACGGTTGTCTTTTTCACAGTTCCCGTACTGCCCCCTTCCGACCAGCCCTTACTGCATGTAATGGTGTAGTGAGTGAGTGAGTTTAGTTTTACGCCGCTTTTAGCACTATTCCATCAATACCACGGCGGGGGACACCAGAAATGGGCTTCGCACATTGTGCCCATGTGGGGAATCGAACCCGGGTCTTTTGCGTGACGAGCGAACGCTTTAACCACTGTGTTACCCCCACAACCCCCACTCACTCTGAATCTCCTCGGGGCTACTTTTCAATTTAAAAGGACTTGCTAGTTATACCAAGTAATTATAATCATATATTTTAAAAGAAGCATTAATTTAGAGGATTGGTGGGGTATGAGCGTTCGCTCGCCACGTTTAATACCCGGTTCGATTTTCCATATGGGTACAATGTGTGAAGCACATTCTTAGAGTTTGTAGTTTTGACTGGAATACTCCTGAAAGTCGCGTAAAACAAAACTCACTCACTCTGGTACAGTGGAATGGACCAATATGTCATGACTAACACATAGCCTGCAGACCGTTGCTATTGCTATTGGGACCTGGGACGTAAAATGTTTTAAAAATAAATATATAAAACAAATTCAAAAGAAATTAGAACATTAACAACACAAAAGCAATGGGTTATGTCTATGGCAAAATTTGATCAAAAGAACAAATCTAATGACGTAGCGTTTACCTGCAAGACCCATGAGACTCAGATCGGATCTTCAGCACCCAATGCTTGTAAGAATCAACGAACGGGGTCTGTTGGTCAGACACGCCTATTCGGTAATGCAAATGCGAACAACGATGCTCATGATGTCAGTCACTGGATTGTGCGGACCAGACTCGAATATTTACCGGTCACCGTCACATGGCAGGACTATTTCTGAGTGCGGCGTTACACAACAGAAGAACAACCAACATACACACCTGCAAACATCCGTTAGCCTTCTCACACTTGTCAATTGCGATCATCACGCTCATTAGGTCAGGGGTCAGACAACCGTTCTTGTACCAGTATCTGACGCAAACATAGAGCATAAATTTTAAGTGAGTAAGTGGTTTTACGCAGCTTTTAGCAATATTCTAGCAACATCACTGCGGGGGACACCAGCAATTGGCTTCACACATTGTACCCATGTGGAGAGTCGAACCCGGTGTAACAGGCCAAACTTTCCCCCTGGCCAAACCTTACCCGGGGAAACTTTAGTAGGCCAAACTTTCCCCCCTAGGCTAAATCTTCCCCACCCTTGAATCAACTTTAAAGGCTACTTGTTTCCCATCCTTGTTCTTATATCAAAATGGGGAGATCCTGGCCTAGGTAGGCTATTTCTTCCCCTGGATTTCAAACTGGCGGTTTGGCTTATCCGGTCTAACAATAATCAGATTATTTTTTTTGCGCTTTGAGCAGGATATGAAGCCTGGAAAAGCGCGTTATAAATATTCTACATTGGTACCATTAACAAGTAGGCTACCCCGGCAGTCCGGGTACTCTTAAGAAATCCATGCCAAAGGCAGAGTCGATCGTAAAAACAACACGAGTATATATGTTATGACTCGCTATAAAATAGCGATGATATCATGTTATGTGATAAAAGCTGTTTACCCATAATCCTGGTGCCAGACAAACTTGCCTCCAGTTCTCGCTTCCTTCATCATCAGCTTGGAGTGATAGTGGTACACCTCGCCGCCCATCAGCTGTGATCGATGAACGAAATTGTAACAATATATTTTGTGTGTGCATGTTCTATTAGATGGGTGAGTATGGTTTTACGACGCATTTAGCAATATTCCAGCTGGTCACGCTGAACACGGCCGCCTCCGTGGTGTAGTGGTTAGAGCGTCCGCCCGGAGAGCGGAAGGTCGCGGGTTCGATCCCCGACCGCATCATACCAAAACACGTTAAAATATGGTACTTGTTGGTTCCTGCCTGGCGCTCGGCATTAATGGGTACAAGGACTGGTCGGCTCGGAGTCAGTATAATGTGTCTGAGTGGGGTATTCATGCTTAACTGCGACATGGTATCTCAGTGGGCTAGCACTATAAAACCAGCTTAAGTCTGGGCTAGTACAAGCAGCCGCACATACACATACACCCGCATGCACGTCGTCATATGAGCGAAATATTCTCAAGCACGACGTTAAACCCAATTTCACCTCACCTCGCGCTGAAGACCCGGGTTCGATTCCCCACATGGGTAGAATGTGTGAAGCCCATTCTGGCGTCCCCCCGCCGTGATATTGCTGGAATATTGCTAAAAGCTCATACTCACCATACTCACTCATTTAAGTACAATGTCCTGTGTTTCTGGAAGGAATGACCTGTGTCAGTATATGTTAGTTGATTAAGTAGATTCGAGATGTGGTTTGGTATACACAACAGCTATTTTGTGTTGCTGTTTTAATATATACCTGTTTCATGAAGCCTAAGCACATGTTTATAAGACGAGTATATGGATGGCAACTTCTTGTTTATTGTATATCACAACGTTCTGGGCTACTTCTTGCCCCTTCTTCAAAATCACCTGACGAAGGGGCAAGAAGTAGCCCAGAAACGTTGTGTTATACAATAAACAAGAAGTTGCCATCCATATACTCGTCTTATATATTCACCAACTTCTAAATGTCTCTCAAGAATTTAAGCACATGTTTCACATGGTCTCACTGATTACCTTCTCACACGTTCCAGCAACTTTCTGACTACGGACAACCAATCCAGCCACGTCATTGCCAGGATGGCTCCACACGCATGCGCGGCTTTTACCTTCTTCCCCGTCAGAGAGCTGCAAAATATACTCATAGACTTGAGAATATATTGGCATGAATATTTGTGCGTTTATTGATCATGAGTGATAAACATCGTACAAATCGAACCATACAGACAATCCAGTGATCAAAAGAATAAGTGAATGAGTGAGTGACTTTAGGTTTACGCCGCTTTTAGCAATATTTCAGCAATATCACGGCGGGGAACACCAGAAATGGGCTTCACACATTGTACCCATGTGGCAATGTTCAGCATAAGCATCGATCTACGCAACTGAGATACGATGACTTGTGTCAACCTTTTCAGCAAACCTGATCAAACTATCTCCCAGTCCCGTTACTCGCCTCTTACGACAAGCATGGAATGCTGACGGCCAATTCTAATCCACTTGGTTCAATGGCTGTTGGAGGATGTTGCATATATTGTGTCACAGACTGATGAAATTAACACCATACAGTCTACCCTGGTTATAACGCCACCATTTGTTCAGGAAGAGGGGCGGTGGGGTAGCCTAGTGGTTAAAGCGTTCGTTCATCACGCTGAAGGTCCGGTTCCCCACATGGGTATATATGTGTGAAGCCCATTTCTGGTGTCCCCGCCATGATATTGATGGAATAAAGCTAAAGCGGCGTAAAACCATATTCGCTCACTCACTCCAGGAAGATTTCGGGCGTTATAAGGACGGAATTTCAATAGGTGGAACTCTGTTATGGAAAATTAAGGCGTTGTAACCAGGTTGGCGTTAACCAGGGTTCACTTTAAAAACGACTGATTGTAAAAAAATGAGAATGAACGAGAAAGGTGATACGAGAGTTAAAGTATCACATCGAGGCTATAACAGCGTCATCAAATAGGAGCCATTGTTAGAGGCGGTTCGGCGTAGGCCATAAACATCTGGGTATATGTGAACTGGTCCCGTACTTGAAGAATTCAGCCTTACGACGTAATTCAATAGGCGTGATGTTTACAACATCGTGTTTACAGAGCAAGAAACAAGACTGTCCTTGAACCTTACGTTACTGGGGAGTCTGGGTTGAAATAGAGCCGACCGACCATCTTATGCCTGTCGTGAGTAAGTGTGTTCGGGTTAACTCCATTTAGACTGAGTTTGGTTTTACTCCGCTTTTAGCAATATTCCAGCAATATCACGATGGGGGACACCAGAAATAAATTTCACACATTGTATCCATGTGAGGAATCGAACCCGGGTCTTCGACGTGGCGAGCGAACGCTTTGACCACTAGGCTACCCCACCGCCCCAACTCCATCTAGAACAGGATTCCAGCCATGCCACGCAGTGTTAGCTTACTGTGGGAGGAAGGCATTGGGTGATGCAGGTAAGGCGTCAAGTACGGTGAAATTCTTGATAATCTTGTCTTGGCGCAGACAAACCGAGAAACATAATCGGGACGGACTGGGATTCGAACCCTCGATCATCGGTTTCTGGCGTACTAAAACAACATGTACCCTACCACTCACTAGCGCATTTAGGTTGGTCAGCATAGTACCTTTGTACGTGGGTTTCTTCAAAGTGGTAACATCTTCAGGCTTTCCACTTATACATGTACTATCGTGATTTAACTGAAACCATCTTCGAAGTGTCGTTAAGATCAGATCACCATATGTATAGTCTGTCTCACAGGCCCTGAACCACATTATTCTCCCTACTGCCTTGCCCTCCCTGTAGTGCTAAAGCCCTGAAGCAAGTCTAGATTCCCCTCAGGTTCTAAATCTCTGTTAGTCACAGCCTGAACCACATTATCTGCCCTTCCCTAAAGCCCTGCCTGCAGTGCAAAATCCCTAAATGAAGCAAGTCTAGATTCCCTCAGGGCCAGGAACCTGAATCTCCCAACTCTCGGGTCCTTTTCAATTTAAATGGGTTTATTTGTTACTTTCAAAATTATATATCTTCAGTGACTACGTGTTAGTCTACCATTGTACAGCGTTTGTCCTTGGCAATCCCATCAGAGGTAGACGTTTTTAAGTCCAGATATGTCCACAACATGAAGTGACTAGATGTTGTATTATGCCGTAGTGGCGATATTTGGGCGAGTAAGTAGTAATCTAGAATAACGCATAGTCGCTGAATATATGTAGTATCTATTGTAACAAATAAACCCATTTAAACTGAAAAGGAGCCCCGGGGAGACCAGATATTCCTTGAGAAATCTAGACTTGCTTCATTTAGGGCCTTAGCATGGCAGGGAGGGCAAGGCAGTAGGGAAAATGCAGGAAAATTAATATGGTCCTGGGACTGTGAGACAGACTAGTAGTAATCGACTGACTGACTGACTGAGTTTGGTTTTACGCCGCTTTTAGCAATATTCCAGCAACATCACGGCGGGGGGACACCAGAAATGGGCTTCACACATTTTACCCATGTGGGGATTCGAACCCGGGTCTTCGGCGTGACGAGCCAACGCTTTAACCACTAGGCTACCCCACCGCCCCTAGTAGTAATCGAGACTTCACCACAAAAGTAAAGGCGCAGACATCTGAAAACAATACGCACTCACTCACTCACTCACTCGTTGCATCAACCCACCTCGAAGGAGTTCTTCATCAGCTCCTCATTGTCCTCAATACTTCTTCTCAGTTTCGTGATTTCCTCCGAGTCCAAAATACCTCTGAAAACACTACACTTCATCACAAATATCAACTGTTACTCTCGGCGGTTTTAGTCATGCATTATCAGTTTTACTATGCTTCAAAATTATTTTCTTTTCAAAGGCTGTCGTCGTAAGAAAGAAATAGCTGTTGGGCATTAGGGTTTGGTTCGGTTGGTTGGTTGTTAAACGCCGCACTCAGCAATATTCCAACTATATGGCGGCGGTCTGTAAATAATCGAGTCTGGACAAAGACAATCCAGTGATCAATATCATGAGCATCGATCTACATAATTGGGATACGATGACATGTGTCAACCATATTGCTGAGTGCAGTGTTAAACAACAACACACACATTAAAGTGAGTGAGTGAGTTGTGTTTTACGCCGCTTTTAGCAATATTCCAACAATATCACGGCAGGGGACACCAGAAATGGACTTCACACATCGTACCCATGTGGGAATCGAACCCGTGTCTTCGGCGTGACGATCGAACGCTTTAACCACTAGGCTACACCACCATTGAAGTCAGGTCAGCTGCTCAGTCCAAGAACCTGTAGCCGGGTGGGGTGAGGTGAGGTGAAATTGGGTTTAACGTCGTGCTTGAGAATATTTCGCTCATATGACGACGTGCATGCGTGTGTATGTGTATGTGCGGCTGCTTGTACTAGCCCAGACTGAAGCTGGTTTTATAGTGCTAGCCCACTGAGATACCATGCCGCAGTGAAGCATGAATACCCAACTCAGACACAGTATACTGACTCCGAGCCTACCAGTCCTTGTTGTACCCATTAATGCCGAGCACCAGGCAGGGACCAACAAGTACCATATTTTAACGTCTTTTGGTATGACAGTCGGGGATCGAACCCGCGACCTTCCGCTCTCCGGGTTCGATTTTATATAAGTATATTTTTCTCGGTACCTAATTATGATATATCCAAATTCTTCAAACGCACTCCGCATGTCATCCGTGGCCTGAAAGCCAGGTCCGTACTCGTATTCTGTAATAAACATTCATTATATAAATGGGAGAGACCAGATATGTTTTCGGAGAGAGAGATTCGGAGATTCGGAGAGAGAGAGAGAGAGAGGAGAGAGAGAGAGAATGATTAGTCATATTCAAGAGGGGGTTGAACCTCCTCTGAGAGAGAGAGAGAGAGAGAGAGAGAGAGAGAGAGAGAGAGAGAGAGAGAGAGAGAGAGAGAGAGAGAGAGAGAGAGAGGGGAAGGATCCGCCAATGAGTTGTGGTAAGAGGCGACTGATGGGATCGGTGGTCAGGTGCGTGCTGTTGTTTAACACTGCACTCAGCAATATGGTTGAGACGTGAGACATGTCATCGTATCCAATTTGCGTAGATCGGTGCTGTTGATCACTGGATTGTCTAGTCTGGACTCGATTATTTACAGACCGCCGCCATATATCTGGAATATTGCTGAGTGCGGCGTTAAACAACTAAGAAACATCTTATAGTGGTGTAAAAAGTGACTATAAAACAGAAAGGCAATGTAGTAACACACCAGTAACAGGGACAGGAAATGGATCACAGGGCGTGGAATGTATCATATGCAGTGATGTATACACTAATAAACAATCGACCACACAACCCAGTGATTGATGTCATAAACAACAATCCTCTCCGTCAGCGCACGATGATACACTATCAACCAGGGCAGCGAGCCCGACCACCCGATCCACAGAACCGACGTTAACCGGAAACATATTTAACTTGTCATCATATAAATATTTTTTGTGCATTTATGTTTTGTTTTTGATAGAATATTACAAGATATTTAAATCATGTTAATATCTGTTCTCAAAAGTATTAACGTACCTGTTTTCATACCGCTGATGGTTACGCCCGACTGTTAACCTGCTGTAAAGAAAGTAGTATTTCACATGGAAAAGTAGTTCAAACAAGGCCTAATCGTAGACTCGGGAAATGTCATTCGACTTATTCCATACATTACTAGGCTATCTCGGCCAGCTGTGGGAGGAATCCATATTGGAAGTTGTATCATTCACGTGACTATCACACGGCACAATTCGGCCAAGGTATTGACCCTTTATTTGTTAGTGTTTTTGGCCTCCTTTTTTCCCAATCATACTGAATACCCTTTTTTCAGCGTTCAGTATATATATCATAGAATGTTCTCAATATCTGTACCAAGTTTATGAGGCGAAATCGGAATATTTTCTCAAAATACAGCAAAATTATTCCCTCAGGGGCTGCTGCTGTTAGTCAGGTTGCGTAAAAAGCCAAGCGAAGTCATGGAGTGAGTGAGGTTTTACGTCGCTTTTAGCAATATTTCAGCAATATCACGGCGGGAGAAACAAAACATTGATTACTCAACAGTCTCGTTTCCTGTTGACTGGGTCCCGTCCTATTGCGCAACTTAGTACAATAACCAGTCCAGAATTTTGAGATCAATTAATTTAACTGGATATATAATTATTAATAAGTATTATTTGATACATCTAAGCAATTGTATATTGCAACACTACGCTCCTTCTAATCCTTGCAAACACGTCGTGCAGCGTGCTCTGTCGTACAGCGAGCTCTGACAAACGTAGTCTCTCGTACGGACCCTGAAGCAAATATATCCAAGAAAGCCCACACAAGTCTAGAAAAGTGGCAAGTCTAGATTTCCTCAGCTTCAGGAAATGAAGAAAGTCTCAGGGCTCCTTTTCATTATATTTTATTTTTTTTCTACTATGAACTTTTTTTTCAGTAAAATATGTTCATTTCAGAGACTAGTTGTTAGTCTATGACAAACGGAAACCTGGAAATCGTGGAAATCTCAAAACGAGGCTCTCCCGCTTGAAAAGTTTGGCGGTCTGGTACGGACCTGATATTATATCAATCACATTGTGCGTTACAGAACTACACTGAACAAACAAACACATAACAGGTGTAACCAGTGAGCCAGATGCATTGTGAATCAGTTTACCACAGGGGCAGTCTGTGACGTCTTAGTTAATTAAGGTCATGCTGCCTACACCTCGCTATAAAATATAGAAATACGATGTTATTAAAGTTTATAATTAAAATTCATTTTTTTTGTAAATACCATTTTCTTATAAAACAAGGAATTGGAATTCAGTGTAACCATAGTTGTTTGGGATGTCTATTTTCACTTTCACACGAAAAAGTTCGGATCGGCTGAAAAGTAGGTCATTGTCTGAATGGGTTAATGAGACTCATGTTTCGGTTTGCCAGAAATGGTCTTTACACATTGTACCCATGTGGGGAATCGAACAATCGGCGTGACGAGCGAACGCTTTAACCACTAGGCTACCCCTGTGGTAGGCCACAGATGATGGATATCGATGATGTTCGGGGAATATATGTCAGTATGCGTGAGACAGTTTTTTGGTCGATTTGCACGTGGTACAAGCGTTTCAGCTTACCGTATATTAAAACCTAGTGTACATTCAATCTGAAATTATGTTTGGGCAATAATATTTGAAAATATATTGTAAAATATGCAAAAATATAGAATATTCGTATTATGCTGCAACAATAATACATATGTGCTATAAATGCTCTATACAATGTTACACGTGTTATAAATGCTATACACAAAGCTACAAATGGGCTATAAATGCTCTGTACAGTGCGACACGTGTGCTTTTAATGTTATATACAATGCTTCATGTGTGGTATAAATGTTATATACAATGCTACATGTGTGGTATAAATGTTATATACAATGCTATAGTGTGTCAACCTAACTTTTGGGATTGCAGTTTTTGCAAATATCTTTTTTTGTTATTCGTTTCAATGAAAAAGTGTTTACACGTACCTTCATGATTCTCCGTGACTTAACTGGAACCAATTTTTAATGTCGCGGTGATCGCCTATTAAAAAAGTTGCCCATATAACTATCATTATGTTTTCGTGATTGTTTCCGGGCTTGATGTAATGTCTGTCAGGTGACGTAATCATATGTTTCACGTATAAAATGCAAAACGTGTGGTATAAATGCTATATACAATGCAATGTACAAACTACGGGCTATTTAATTCGCTCGGATCTTCAAACACAAATTTCAATGTAACAGAATTCGGACAAACAAAACTTAAATTTGATAAGACAGACGTGCCTGTCGCCTACTGTCAAATGTAGGTCATACAGGTGTGCAAATTTCATTATGAAACAAACGACGATAGCTGAGAAATTTATCTTTGGGAATATCCACAACTTAAATAAGGTGATATTAAAGACGTAATTCTCAGCAACAGAAGGAAACAAGAACGCAAAGGGTCCTTACCTGTGACAGCTGTTGGCTGTGGGACTGCTCCAGGTGATCGGATACAGTTACGTCTACAGACTCTGTCATGGGACCCCGGGAAACGTGGCTTCCAGGTCTGGACTGCGTTCACGCGCCAGTGATGCTATATAATTACACTGACGTGTTTGCACACAGTAATATGATGAGGTGTACAATCCAAAATAGACGTACAATTCATGTTTTTCACTTCAGACAGAGGTCCATTTAGATTGTTTGGTCTTTTTGTTTAACGCCGCGCTCAGCAATATTCCAGCTATATGACGGTGATCGTTTTCTGTAAATTCGGAAACGAGAAAGCGATATCGATGGCCCTAATCAGCCACCATAGTTTAGTGATCAACAGCATAAGCGTACGCGTCGATCTAAGAAATTGGGATACAATGTCAGGCGTCAACCAAGTCAGCGAGCCTGGCCACCGACCCCGTTAGCCTCTTATGACAAGCATGTGTTACTGAAGACCAGTTCTATCCCGGATCTTCACGGGGTACAGACAGAGATACTTGTTATTGAAGCTGTTTATATATGCTTGTAAAAGATTTCTTGGCGTTAGGTGCATTGATCGTTTGGAGATGCCGGAAATGTCGTACATTTTAATCCTCTGCCATTTCTTCTCCTCTTTTAGCAATATTCCGCAATATCACAGGTGACACCAGAAATTGGCTTCACACATTGTACCCATGTTGGGAATCGAACCTGGGTCTTCGGCATGACAAGCGAAAGGAGTGAGTGAGTGAGTTTGGTTTTACGCCGCTTTTAGCAATATTCCAGCAATATCACGGAGGGGGACACCAGAAATGGGCTTCACACATCGTACCCATGTGGGGAATCGAACCCGGGTCTTCGGCGTGACGAGCGAAAGGAATGGAAAACAAACACCCTGGATGGTGGAGGATATGCTGCTGTCGCTTCACAGAACAATCAAACGCAACGAGTATTAGTCGTGTGTTTCCTTTGATTTCTTTTTGTACAGACTGGTTCCTGGACGTACATCCGCAGCGTTACGTTTATCATTGTCATTGAAAAGAACAGCTGGGGGAAACTTAACAGTACAGACATTGGATTAGGCAGTTTCAAAAGTAATGAAACCAAACACATAATCTTCATGCGCGTAACTGGATACATGATTTAATACTGGACATCCGTCAGCAACTACAGTACAATAAATACCCCAACAACATACAACAGGATTCTATTAAAGGCATACACTGATGTACAAATATCCACATTATTTCAATTTTTTAATATACATGCGGAAAGAACTAACGGAACATGTTCGGCTTGGTGTTCAAACTTAGACAAATCAAATGTCAGCATTTCACTTTTGTCATGTGAATGAGTTCTAACGAGCAAAAATGATCCTTTATTTTGTATCTTTTGCATCAGTTACTGCCATCAGTATATGCACATAACATGACATATCACACAATAAGTGAATATATTCATAACGTTTACACTGATAAAGTATATTTCTAAGGTGTTATGTGTGATAAAGTATATCAACCAGGTGTTAAACAAAAATAAAATGCATCTTGCCCAGGTGAGAACAACTGATGAAGTACATCTTACCCAGGTTGTAATGAATGATAAAAATAACACCTTGCTCATCTCGTATGAATGATAAAATGTACATACAGCCCATATGTTAACACTGCATATTACCCAGGTATTAAATTATGATTAATCACATCTTGCTCAAGCAATAATGAATGATAAAATGCATATTGTCTCGGGGTCAATCTTGTCAAGTTGGTGATGAATGATGAAAAGTGTATCTTGCCAAGATGCGAATGGCTGATATAAGGTCCATCTTGCCAAGGAGGTAGTGAATAATGAAAAGTACATCTTGCCAAGATGGTAATGCATGATGAAAAATACATCTTGCCAAGGTGGTAATGGATGATAAAAAGTACATCTTGCAAAGGTGGTAATGGATGATAAAAAGTACATCTTGCCACATGTTAGTAAAATCACAACATGTTGAGTTGAAAGTTGGAAACATGGTCATTCAGCCTTCTCTACATGTCAGAAATCTTGGCGTCCTACTCCAACCTGACCTCTCCATGAAGAAACAGATTCTGGATCTGTGCAGAAAATGTTACTTCCATCTCCGTAACATTGGACAGATCAGACATCTCCTGTCACAGGATGCTGCGGCTGCCCTGGTGAGAACACTGATTCTCTCACGACTTGACTATTGCAACAGCTTGTTGGTTGCAGCTTCACAAGAGTCCATCCAAAAGCTCCAACAAATCCAGAACACAGCTGCCCGCATAGTTACTCTCCAACCAAAACGCTGCCACATCACTCCCATCCTGTTGTCTCTTCACTGGTTGCCTATTGAGGCTCGCATTGACTATAAGATCCTTACACTTGCTTATCAGTCTATTCATGGTATTGCACCAGTGTATCTTCAAGAACTCTCTCCTTACATGCCAACAAGAACTCTGCGTTCATCCTCGGCTAATCTGCTCTGTGTACCAAAGTGGAACCTTAAATCATTTGGCTGCAAGTCTTACCAGAACATGGCATCAGTCAAATGGAATTCCCTCCCTGGTGAACTTAAGCTGTCTCCAACCCTTGAAAACTTTAAGTGCCATCACAAAACCTTTCTTTACAAAAAGTTCTATGGACTTCAATAATGCTTTATTGATTGTTAGCGCTTTGAGCATACCTGGTGTGGAGTTTGGCGCTTTATAAATGGACACATTATTATTATTATTAAGGTGGTAATGGATGATAAAAAGTACATCTTGCAAAGGTGGTAATGGATGATAAAAAGTATATCTTGCAAAGGTGGTAATGGATGATAAAAAGTACATCTTGCAAAGGTGGTAATGGATGATAAAAAGTACATCTTGCAAAGGTGGTAATGGATGATAAAAAGTAATCTTGCAAAGGTGGTAAAAGGTGGTGCAAAGGTGGTAAATGGATGATAAAAAGTACATCTTGCAAAGGTGGTAATGGATGATAAAAAGTACATCTTGCAAAAATGGTGGTACATGGATGATAAAAAGTACATCTTGCAAAGGTGGTAATGGATGATAAAAAGTAATCTTGCAAAGGTGGTAATGGATGATAAAAAGTACATTTTGACACGGTGGTAATGGATGATAAAAAGTACATTTTGACACGGTGGTAATGAAAAATGAAAAGTACATTTTGACACGGTGGTAATGAAAAATGAAAAGTACATTTTGACAAGGTGGTAATGAAAAATGAAAAGTACATCTTGCCAAGGTGGTAATGAAAAATGAAAAGTACATTTTGACACGGTGGTAATGAAAAATGAAAAGTAAATTTTGACAAGATGGTAATGAATAATGAAAAGTACATTTTGCCAAGGAGGTAATGAATGATAAAACGTACCCAAAGTCGAGGCGGTAATGAAAAATGAAAATTGCTTTTTTGCAAAAGTAGTAATGAAAGACGTAAAGTACACCCAGCTTTAGTGGTAATGAATAATGAAATATATCTTATTATAAAAGAGAAAAAGTATGTCTTGCACAAATGTTAGTGAAATACAAAAGGCACATCTTGCTCAGTTCATCAGTACTTCTAACAGTTTTATGCGTGAACCTCTGCGTGAATTTCAACCGGGAGCTGCGGTGTCAGTTGTCCGCTGGCCTCGGAGTGTGGTCGAGTTACCTCCCTTTGTCCCACATCTGGGATTTTATGTTTAGTTTTAGGACCAGGTTTTGTCAGTTCCTTCCCGATTATTTTCATAGAAGCCACTCGAAGTCGGTTGCCAATGGCAGCTAGTGTCACGGACAGCACCCTGCAACATAATATCGAGTTGATAGATTGATAGGACTGGTAGGGTAGAGGCGGATCAAGGCAAGCATTAACTTTAAATATTAAAGGTCCTCTACCATCTCAAACATTAAATGCTCAAAACCCATTCTATAAACTAATACAGATAACTAGTTGATGTTAGAATTACTAATACTGATTAATAATAGTAATACTAATCGTAATATTAATAACTAATTGCTAATAGTAATACTAATCTTAATACCAATAAACTAATTGCTAATAGTAATACTAATCTTAATACCAATAAACTAATTGCTAATAGTAATTATAATCTGAATACCAATAACTAATTGCTAATAGTAATACTAATCTTAATACCAATAACTAATTGCTAATAGTAATACTAATCTTAATACCAATAAAACTAATTGCTAATAGTAATAGTAATCTTAATACCACTAATTCTTAATACCAATCTTAATACCAATAAACTAATTGCTAATAGTAATACTAATCTTAATACCAATAAACTAATTGCTAATAGTAATACTAATCTTAATACCAATAAACTAATTGCTAATAGTAATACTAATCTTAATACCAATAAACTAATTGCTAATAGTAATACTAATCTTAATACCAATAAACTAATTGCTAATAGTAATACTAATCTTAATACCAATAACTAATTGCTAATAGTAATACTAAAACTAACTAATCATCCTAATATTGGTACTAAGAGTGAGTGAGTTTAGTTTTACGCCCGCACTCAGCCATATTCCAGCTATATGGCAGCGGTCTGTAAATAATCGAGTCTGGACCAGACAATCCAGTGATCAACAGCATGAGCATCGATCTGCACAATTGGGAACCGATGACATCTGTCAACTTCTTTGAGAGGCATTTTAGAAGTTGGATAGATGAAGGAAAACCAAGTTCTATGGATAGTCAACTTCTTTATTGCAATGGGTGGACGTTTCGGTGTAGGTACTAACACCGTTATCAAGCAAGTGATACATAGAGTTGTAACATGGAGAATATATACATAGCTGCATAGTGTGTATATACAATTGACAAGGTTGATATACATTGGATTGCTAATTAGTGATTTGAGCAGAGTAGGTTGATGTACAGAGTGATAGTGATTAAAACAATATGCAGAATGAGTTTATACAATAGATGAGTTGATGTACACTGAGATGGTAATGTGAGTTGGAGAGAGTAGGTTGATGTACACTTGGTTTTCCTTCGACATCTGTCAACCAAGTCAGCGAGCCTGACCACCCGATCCCGTTAGTCGCCTCCTACGGCAAGCATGGGTTGCTGAAGGTCAATTCTAACCGGAACCTTCACGGGTCACTGGTACTAATAGCTAAATGATATACTTAATACGAAAACTAAGTACACTATATAATAACAGCTCCATGATAATATTAATACTAATAACATCAACTAGATGTTAATATTGATATTGGTTAAAGTGACACAGTTACGCAAAAATCTGTGACTGACACACATACATGAATAGTGTTGTAAGGGCAGAGTCAACATCAGCCGTTTCATGAAGCATGAAAGTCGGGGCCAGACAAACCAGTGATTTGAAAATGAATATTGTTATAAGGTAAAAATGCAGCGGCTAAATCGGTAGAGAATTACATCATATTCCGCATATAGATTTGCAGTTTGGCTCATTAGTGATAATGGTTGGGCGCTGTATGGAGACAGAAAGTCTAAAGAGAATGGCGTGTAGCCATAAGTTAGATATATATCCGTCGTGAGAGACAGAACACAATAACAAATCAATGAAAAGGGAAGAGTGACCGAACGGTACTTACTGATAATTTTCCAATCATACTATTCATGAGTGCTAGGACGGATATAGGATTAACGAATCAAAAAGACAAGTTGAAGCATGTGATCATGATCAGGTCAGGCCTGAACCATATAAAAGACAGGTTGGGCACTGAGTGGTGCGCGCTTTTAAGTGTGGTACGAGCCTATCCTGTCTGTTGATGAAGCTGCATTGGCGGATCCAGAGGGGAGTTTCAGGGTTTCAGACCCCCTTTTGAAAATGAAGATTTTTTTTGCGTTGGCGGAGCCAATGCGGGGTTCAAGGGAGTTCACCCTGAACAACCCCAACCCCCACCCCCACCCCCACACACACACACACATTCAAAATTCCTGGATCCGCCCATGAGTTGTATCTAGAGATGGACTGAGACAGAGTAAAAACTATGTGAGTATAAAACTTGGTGTTGCGTTTATCTTTGAAAGTATGTGTGCCAGTACATGAATGCAATGTAGTTAGTTAGGGGTCACGGTCGCCCACCCCTCACTCCTAGACTAAGCATCCTGCAACGGAGCTCCAGAGCCTACAATTTTCCCCTGACAATGGGAACGGCCACAAGTACAGTGGAAACCTGATAAGTAAAATTTCAAGGGACTCGCCAAAATTGTTTACTTATCAGGTATTTTACTTATCAAACTTATAAAAACCTGCAAATGACAACCATATGCATGTATATGTATGCATATGTAACATTCTAAGATGCCTAGCGGTTAGAACAATCGGAAAAAAATTCATTATCAGACAATAAAGGTATAGTTTTTGATGACGTAACAATTGAATGACGTTTTCCCGTCACTGCGCCATTCTAGTCTGCCCCTCGTAATCGAACCATTTTACATTACGTCACAATGTCAGCGACGTCACGATGCATGTCATCAGTTGTCATCGCCTCGTACGGCCTCCTACAGTAAACTACACCGTTGCATCCAGTTTCTTGGTTTGCTGTTGCTTCACGCAGCTAACATCACTAGTGGAAACATTACGTTTATGTTTTACGACGGTTAAAATGTGTCATTTCGACTCACAAGTTTTCAGCGACACGGTAACGTTCGTAATGTTTACATTCCCACAATGCAATCGTGGAATGTCGCTTGACTACTCAACTTCCTCTGGATGTACTGATCTAAACTTACGCTGGTAGTAGAAATGCAACGTTCATATTGCCCCATATGGTTTACGTTCATGACAGATGTAATTAAAATAATTCAGAGAAGATATTTAATCCGAACGTAAACCGTCATCAAACTGTTATCATTTGTTTTTTTCTGGTAACGTTCGTCTTAACGTAGGGGTCAGACACATCAATAGAACAGCGCGCCAGTTAGCCCTGTGCGAGGATTCTTAATTTAGGTCACCGACACCGTCGTTAGTTTTCTGCCTTAAATTAATCGTAATTATCTTTAGAAAGTATTAAATTTGGCATCTTAGAAAAGAAATACACTTCGCCCTACCACCATGTATAGTGTAATAAAACACACTTTCGCACAGAACTATTATAACGTTAAAGCACTCAGGGCAAAAGTGTGTTTTATTACACTATACATGGTGGTAGAGCGAAGTGTATTTCTTAAATGAACAACTTATCAGGGCTGGCCTCCAGTTGTCAGTGTATTGTCAACTGCTGTAGTAGGTAACTGTCGTAGGGTTTACTAACGCCCGAACGCCGGTTACGACAATATTGTCCCATGCGATCGGGGTAGA